TCATTATGATAACTGATACGTTTCCATAGATCATTATGATAACTGATACGTTTCCATAGGTCATTATGATAACTGATACTTTTCCAAAGGTCATTATGATAACTGATACGTTTCCATAGGTCATTTAAGTTTCTCTTTTGTCCTTTGAACAAACGATGGGCCGGAGCTTATGCTCCTACAAGCCTTTGTGCCAACCGATTCCTCTCCCTCAGCTGGACCTCATTTCATATGATTCCAGCCTCAATTTAATGAAAGTCTAAGATATTGGCGCTCATGGCTTCTTGATTCCCCTTTCCTCAGTAACAAGCACTGCCAATGACCATCTCATATCTGCTCACTGATCCCGTGAGCACAGGAACAACGGTGGGGTTGGCATGGGACCAGGCAGTGTTTCCTTCTGTTGGACGTGGGACCTCTGTGGGTCGGAACTGACCCAACGACACAGAACAATAACAACAACAGTCCTATGAGGCGGTTTGGGGGTACACCGTTGTAGAAGTGAGATATTGAGGTTCAAAGAGGGAAAGTGATGCATCCAAGGGCGCTCAGCTAGCAGGAGGGACAGCTGGACCAGGTCTGTCTTATTAAAAGTTGTGCAATGTGACTTGGACCACATGCCTCAGGCAGCTGTGATTAATTCTACCCAGGACAGGCTCAGGGACAGCTGAGGCTGTGGCCACAGGGGGCAGGTCTCAGGGATGACAGCTGAGAGAGTGGGGAGGAGATGAGTGACCACAAACAGGGAGAAGATAATGGGGGAAGGGTCCATGGAGAGACCCTTCAGAAAGACCTGGGCATCTCAGTGGCAGCTGGAATGTCCCCATTGTCAACAGAAGCATGATCTTAGATGGAAGAGATGGTGGTCAGGGATGGCCACCAGCTCAGTGTGCATCAAGAGCAGGGCAGAGGTAAGAAGAAACCACCATACATTTTGGCAACATCAATAGAGGCAGAGTGTTCAAACGAAAGGAGGTCAGAATGGAGCTGTAGGCTCTGTTTGTCAGTGCTGGGCAACACATGGCGGAAGGAAATTGAAGGCACAAGCAGTCACTAAAAGGCCATCTAACCCTTGCTTTGTTGTACATGCAACAGTGGTTGTGGGGTGGGGGGAAGCAAAGGACTTTGGCACCTGTGCCCTGGGGATGAGTCCCGGGCCTGTCATTTTCCTCCTCCTGTGGCCTCAGGCAGATTCACTTTCCTTGATTGCAAAGGAGGAGTCATTGCATCTATTCCGAGGATTGTTGAGAGTAAGTAGTAAATGAGGTAGCACGGAGCCTGGGCTAGGCCTCACCATACACTGGTGGTGGTGTGGTTATACTGGGGAGGAGGAGAGCGAGAGCGCAGAATACAGGCCCCTAATCACCTGTAGGGATGAGGGCAGCAAGGGCCTCCTGGAGCAGGGGACATCCAGTCTGATGAGGGGAAGTGGACAAGGAACTATCCCTGTTGGCCAAAGGGTCTGGGTCTTTCCCAAGGGTGCTGGCATTGAGGGTGGGTGGTGATACCTGGTCGATTCCATCCCAGTCCTGCCCTCTTCCCACTCCCAGGCGGACACGGGAAGCTACTGTACTATCTCAACGACGGCCACTATGGTGTCTTCCGGGACCTCTTAAACCTCCCTGTGCCCAGGACGCCCACCGTGGTGAAGGTAAGGGCTCCGTGTGGCTCCAATGGCTCCCTGCAATGGTTCCGTGCAGGCTCCCGGAGACCCTCCTGGCTCTGAAGTCACCATTCCCCCCACCCCGTGTGTGAACCAGACCAGACACACCTGTGTCCCTACCCCCCCCCACCCCCGTGTCTGCATGGGCACCTCTTTCAGTGTGCATGTCCTTGTTGATTTGCACCTGTGCAGGTAGGCAGGTATAAAGAGTGCGTTCATCTGCATGGAAGTGTGTGTTTACATGCATCTGTGGGCTCTGTGTGTTTGTGTTTCAAGAGTGCTTGGATGTCAGAGATGAAGGAGATGGATGGGAGAGGCTCTCAAACTTGTCTTCACATTAGAATCACCTGGGATTCTCTAAAAAGATCCGAATGCCCAGGCCAGGCCCCTGATCATTTTAAAGTAAAACATGTCAGGGGTTTGACTTCAGGCACAGGACTTTTATTTTGAAAGCTCCCCCAGACAATCCCCAGGTGCAGCTAAGTCTCAGCCCCAGTGCTCTGAGTGATTTTTGACTACAATCATCCCACTGCATAGATGCGAAAACTAAGCTCCCAGGTGTGTCTGCACTTGTGACTTTGGAGGACTAGGATGAGCCACCAGGACAGAAGCGTTGCAAGGGTGGGGCCTTTGGTTCGTGTGCATTGCAAATGTGGAGACCAGCCCTGGCCAGAGGACCCCGGAAGGTGTCAAGGTTGAATAGACTCCATTGCTTACCAAGAGACTGGCAGTTGAATCCACGGAGGAGCCTCAGCAGAAAGGCCTGGTGGTCATTCTGCAGCCAGTCATTGAAAGCCCTCTAAAGCAAAGTGATGTTCTAACACATGTGGGGTCACCACGCATTAGGAGCTATTCCACAGCCATTCACAGCAAGGACGACAGTGCGATGTCCCTGCAGGTGCAGCTCACTCGTGTGACTGCCTGTGGGGCGGGGCGGGGTGGGTAGGGGCACCTGGCAGGATGCTTTGTTCTTTGGCCCTTCAGGAGCTCGGTTCAAAGGCGCCCCTCTTCCGCTGCACCCTCTTTGGCCCCACGTGCAACCCCTTCCACAAGCTCTTCATGGACGACGTGCAGCTGCCTGAGCTGGAGGTGGGCGACTGGCTGGTCTTCCCTTCCATGGGCGCCTACTCATCCGTCATGAGCTCCACCTTCAACGGCTTCCCACCAGCCTCTATCTAAGCCTCTGTCTACGACGGCCTGGGCCCTGAACTCAGGTGTCTGGGAGAGAAGGAAGGGAGTCAGGCTCTGAGGGGGTCGGTGTGTGTGTGTGTGTGTGTGTGTGTGTGTGTGTGTGTGTGTGTGTGTGTA